ATACGATAACATTACATTTTGACCTTATTTATACGATAACATTACATTATGACCTTATTTATACGATAACATTACATTATGACCTTATTTATACGGTAACATTACATTGTGACAATATGTTTGTGTGACAGCACACGACCCAAAGTGGTCAAACCGTACAGACGTTAAGAATAAATCTCTAGGACGCGCAGGTGGTGGTAGTGGGAGTGAGGGAGTTCACATCCCTCTTAATTTTCCATGGACGTGGCTAAAGAGGCTTATTCCTGGTTCAGTATGCAATATTAATAATAAACATTGTTACTGTTATATGCTGAATGGCAAAAACATTTAAAACATATATGAAATTATAAGAAATGTTTAAACAAATATATAAACAAATGCTTAAAAAGAGACAAAGATGGTAAGGATAACCACTTTACTAGCTCCTTCGCAGATGATCAAGAGGTTAGCTTTAGCCCCCACTCTCAAGAATTACTGAAAAGGGGCAGGGGTACCTCAACACCTTAAAATGTCTAAGCCGTTGTTTCGGCGCCCATGACGCAATCTGATAAACGGCTGTTGATAATAATAACTGCCATTGAGATGCTATGTATTATTCACTGCCAGTACAGCTGGTACTCATACATGAGAGGGAGTTCGCCTTAAAGGTCACGTTTAATAATTCATATATCAGCTCCACTAAATCAATGGGTGGTACTAAAAATACCAGCCATGGCCTTCCTGGATGGAATAGACCTTCAAGGTGTTTTTTTTTCCACAATAGCGAAGGGAAAGCAGTTCAAGAGATTTAGTCGGTAAAAAAACTTAGTTCGGCAAAGCCGAATCTAAGCTGGAAAAAGGGGGGAATACAGTCGAGCTTAAACTGAGAACTAAATGAAAGCAACACAAAATGGAACTATCATTCACAAAGAAGTAAAAGGCAAAAAGTTTCCTACAACCGAACACGTCGACACAAGTTTCCAACAGTACATTAAAAAAAGCAAAAAATAGTATACTATTTCTTGAAACGAATGAAAACAGTTACATGGAAAAACAATGCACAAGGTAAAAGAAATGCCTAGGTTACTTACTTGATTTTGAAAAGGGTAAATTTATGTCAGAGATGGCAGTTTCAGATCTCCTATGGGAATGCTGAATTCAAGTCGAAGGACCCCGTTACAATTTTAAGTATAACTGTTTCATCTAGGTAAAGATGCCACATCACAGCATTCAGATCAAGCCCCTCCACCTGCCTTCTCAATAGCCAGCCAACAGTTTCCCCACATCGGTGTTTAACAAGTAAAAGTAATTTCTTATTCTTCTTCTTTCTTCTTCTTCTTCTGCTTGAAAAAGATTATCTATGTGTGCAATGTTGTCTTTAGTATGAAATTCACTGTCTTTTGTAATTCACTCAGCCACTCGTAAAGTTTGACTTGCACCGATGACTTGACCAAAACCTGTACCTTGATATGTTGTATTTGGGACATTTTTGGAGGACATGATCTGTTGTCTCATGTGCTAATCTACATGTGCACGTGGCTGATTCGCCGATTTTAAATTTGGTAAAAGTAAGTGAATGTCATATTTCCACGCCTCGATGAGTATCGGAAACATGATGGTCAATTAATATTTTATAGATCAGTTAGCACGGCGTTTGGTGTAATCGCGCTGACTGACGATACTGGAAAGGACATTTTCTGGTACTCATTTTGAATGAAAAATCGACTAGATGGGATTCGAATCTCTGAAGATCAGATCTGCTGACAAGCGCACAGTAGGTTCTATCCACCTAGGCTCTCAAAGAATACGTAAACAGGCCACACATGTGAACAAGGAGAGTCGCCGTGGCGTTGGCGGCTACAAGGATCAGAACGTCGTGGCTTCGGGCCCTGACAGAGCCGATTTTTTCCCCTTAAAAAATGACCTTGACTCCCAGGTCGACCTAGCTTTGAGTGGGTACCATGAGCAGTCCTTGGAAGTAAAGGCGGCAGGCGTGATGTTGACCATATCACCCGCAAAGTGCCGATGATCTATAAAATATAGTTCTAGCCCTAAATGCCCAATACGCCTAAAGGCGTGGAAAAGGGTCCTTCACTATTACACAAATAAACAGGCAAGTAACATAATAAGAACTTTCCTTCAGTCCGCCGAGTGATCTAAATTTACCTTCTGATCACAATGTCATAATGTTTGTGGGTAATTCTGGGATGTACAAGAGATACAGCGGTATGCGATGTATACTTGCACTGCTTACTATTGTTAATAGGCTCAAAGTTTTGCAAGCAAAGTTATATCTCGGAGTAGCTGCAGACAAGAAACACCTCCTGCATGAAGCCCTGGGTAAAGCTAAGGGTCACAGACTGAAAAAGAAAAATGTAGTGGATGGCACAAGATAAAGACACAGTCAGTTATGTGTGTT